ATACTGGCGACAGAGTCACGTGATTTTGGAGCATTTAATTTTGTTGACCATAATTAATGCTAATTAATGCCGGTTCGGCGCCACTCTAGTGGTGCCAAAGGTAGTGCAAGTGGCGACAGAATTTGAAAGGCTCAGATTGCACTCAAAAAAGATATGTGGTGATCCTAGAACTGTTTTGCCTATATATATATATATATAAGGCACTTCATCCTGATTCCAAGGGACAAACCTTTTGGGATAACACGCATAAGCTCTGCTAGATCGACCATACCCGAACCTTACACAGCCCAAAACTGAACTTTTAACTCGAACTCTTACGCTATCAAAGCCATACTTTAAACTGAAGGCCATCCAAATAATCTGACTTTTCGGACCTTCTTTCACCTATATTCACTTGCCCATTAAAAAACCGAAGGACCGGGATGGACTGTGAAATAATCTTCAACGAACCGGCATCGACTCTGGAGCCCGGCCTAGGGACCCGGCCTAAGGTATCATTTATGTTCTCTTCTTGGTTTTATTAAAGATGTTCATGAGTTTTCTATACTTTTCATTTATTGCGTCTTTTGTTTTCTTCTATTTTAGAATTCTTCATTAAATTCTCCTCCCGTCTCTTCTCATTAAACTTGTGAGACCCTCTTTCAAACTTCAAGGTGTCTGATAGAGAAGGCCTTGTGGCTCAATTGTCACTCAGAACATAATTTGATGGATCCCTTTCTCGATCAACTTCATTTGAGGAGTTTACGCTCGAAACCAAGGCAGGGACTGAGTTCCTTGCTTGCATTATTGAATATAAAGAATTGTATAAATAAGATGATGAGTTTGTAATAAAATTACAATGAAATCTTGTCCTTAATTTCAACTCTTGACACCCACACCCAAAGATAGAGAATCAATATCTCCCTTGCATATTTCTAAAATGAGCCAAGAGAGTTAGAACGCTGAAATCAACAGGGATGGGGCATTAAACGCCATGACATTTCCGTTAGAAAAAAGAACCAATGCCAGTCCAATGCACAAGGAACTTATTAGGATATAACTTTCATAACTATCTCAAATCTTCATTATCTGAAATTCATACAATGTAGATAATAAATTAGAAACACCACATATATTTCTTTGGGTATCATTGCATATTTTAAGTACGTTCTCTCGTCAATTAATATTTCTTCCCAAACAAAAGAAAAAGGTAAATTGAAAAGTGCTGCGTAATCACACTTCCACCATGTGAATTATGAAATTCTCTACTAGACTTGTCATGTTCTTCAAAGATAAGACCCAAGATTTGCAGCCATATTGCCTCTTGCACCCTCATTCTAGTTATATGGTTATTGAACCATGGAGATTTAAGAACTGAAGTATGAACCCTGGTCTGTAACCAAAGCAACGAAGTGGTGTGATCCATGAACCTTGGCTAGGCTTGTTGCACTTGTGCAGATGAACCCGACTTCTAGAAGCCAATCTATTTTCTTTGGCCATAGTTGCATGCATACGGATATCGAGGCTGTGTTGCTCATCCTTTAGGGGGGTAAGTCCACTTTCTTTCATAGGAAGATCTTCATAAAAGGCTCTATTGAAATCATGGAGAAGTTGTGAAGGAGACTCAAATGCATTGGTGCCATTGAAGAACATTTGGTATGCTTTGAGAGTTCCTAAATGAATCAGAAGCTTCTCCACCAATTCCTTTTTCTTTCGATCCAATATGTTCTCAATGCATCCTACTGCATCTTGGATCGTTGCATTTGGGTTTGCCTTCATGATTAATGCAACGAGGTTGGATTTCCCATCCTTTCTTTCTATCTGAAAAGACATCCATAAATGATTATTACTGTGTATTGAATGGACACATCAAACTTTGACATACATAGACTAAGATGTAATCCTTTAGTAACTGAATTGAATCTAAATTATACATTCAAAAGTTTGAAATTTGGGTTACCTCATAGCCTTGTAAGTTATTTAAGAAGCGTGCACAAAGCATGGTGAGTTCCGAAACCTTTTTATACCAAGCATGGTGTAGTATTTCATTTGAGAGCTTTGGAGGTGCCAAATATATAGCATGAGCAATGACTAGATCGGTTGCAATTGATATCATCCCAACTTTTATGTATTCCTCTATGGATGGGACGTAATTGTTCATTCTCCACTCGGCCACTTTAAACCATAAATTCATTGCTACCACTGCCATCACATTCATGAGATTCTCTACTATTGAATTCCATCACGATAGAATAAATTTTATTCATCAGCATGATGGATTAAGAGAAGCTTACCATTTGCCTAAGAGAGACAGTAATGTCTTGCCCTTGTTGGCGATAGGCTTCCTTTGCGATCGTATTAACATGGTCATGTACTGCAGAAAAGAGAACTTTCCTAGGCCCAATTAGGGTTTTCCACCCCATCTGAGACTCAATGAAGTGCCAACCATAATATTAGAACATTTCTCTTCCATTCCCAAACAGATAATTTAGTTCTCGTATATAGCTTGAAGAACAGACATGACGTATTATTTTTCTTCTTCTGCTAGGAAGATTATGATTGGAACCCAAACATAAATTGCTTCTGCTCTTCTGTTAAGGCTCAATAATGTAGTTAAAGTATTCTGTGGCAGTGCGAAGAATTCAAATTGCAGATAATCGTTCCTTATTTTTTCAATGTGGTTATAACATTAAGCCATCATTTCAGGAGACCTAGCCCCTTGTAAAATCAACTCACTAAGGGGTTTAAAAGATAGCAATTAATATTGTAAAATCAACTCACTAAGGGGTTTAAAAGATAGCAATTAATATTATAGAGATTATTTTTTATTTTCATTTCACTCACGTACTTCATCTGATTAACAAATTACCCAAACTGCTCATATTCAGAATAGTAATGTGAACAAGAATGTATTTCAATAAGTTGACCCACCCTAAACAAGTAGCGTTACTCCCATTATTTGGTTCGGGCTTCTTTGGTGGGCCAAATTACTAAAATGCAGATATTGGTACAAGGTTCTTAATCTTGAATGGGGTGATTGAATATTTTTTAGGATATTTTTTAAATGAGGAAGTACTGGAGTGAAAGCAAAATTAAGAAAATAAACCTTCCAAGGGTAATTGAGATGTTTGAACCTCTGAACGATGGCCTGGTTATGACCCCTAAATTATGTTTCTCAAATTTTCTACTTTTTTTTTTTTTAATATCATTTCTTTGAAGATGAATTTGGAAATAGTATTGGCTGCTGGGAGACATCCAACCTGAGAGAAAATTAAACGCTAATAAAGGGTTACACCTTTTGATTACATCCGTAAAACTCTGAAGCTCATCCATGGATCCATGAAAGTTTAAAAAGTCATCAATAATTGTAGCAAGGGCCGCAGTCTGGGCCAATGGATAAGTATGGATGATAGCATGTAGTGGCACTTGCAAAGAAGCAATGAATAGTATTTTCTCGCCAAAATCCTAGGTCACGGATTCCGCTCTTTTCTGCCCACCTATTTCAGAAAGTAATTTAGCATCACCGCAAAAGGGATAAAATACCCGCTTAAGAAAATGCTACTAATTTTAGTAAATTTGGACCAAACTTTCCATGCTTACATTGAAATTTGAGTGATTTAGGCCATCATCGTCATCATAGTCTTTTCCTAATTAATCGGGTCATCGTAGCCTTTTATCAATTAATTGGGGTCGGCTACACAAATTCTGGCTCTCCATTTTGCTCTATTAATACCATATGTTCAGGATTCATGATAAGTTTTGGCCAAATTTTATGTTAGCTGCCTACCTAACACAACTCAGCGTTTTTACCCGGGCATTTGAGTGATTTATGTATGGACTCTAAAAATTTTAGGTAAAAGACGAAATGCTTTACTTATAGGTGGAAATTGCAAAGAAGGTCAGTCAAAGCCATTTTTTTTTAGTTTTTTCAAAATTGCCCTCGTTCAACTTGAATTTTTTTAAAGTTTTTCATTAGTAGGGCAATGCCATAAAACTTGGAGCACTGCCCTAGAAAAAACTACAAATTTTATAAACCAGTTTTGGATTGATTAAGGGATAATTTTGAAAAGAATTAAACAAGGTGGGTTGACTGACGTGTTTTGTAATTTCCGCCTATAAGTGGAGCATTTTGTATTTTACCTAAAATTTTGGGTCCGTAAGTAAATCATTCTTAATATTTTTCCATTAACTATGATTTTATTTATTTATTTTCAAATGGTCATGCCATGGATCATAAATACAATGATCTTGAGATATTATAAGGTACCAGGACATGATAATTCTTAGAATTGGACTCAAAATAGAGTTTAGTATATAATACCTTTTTAGCTTTCCCAGTTCGTCCTTAAAGTTTGTCTGGCGTAAGGTGTAGTTTCTTTTGGCGAGTTCCGCCAACATGTTATGGGTTCGAGCAGCCAATCTACAAATTGAAGTAATTAGCGTATTTGTTTTATATTCTTCCAAGGAAAAGAAACACTAATAAAAGTGTTAAATCATTAAAACGGTGTTAGATATTATATATAATGAGACGAGTTATTTATGGTAAAGGGATGTCACAATTAGTTACTACCATTCGATTTGAAATATGATAGTTGGGATGTGTCACAAAGTTTGAGAAGGTTTCTTTTGAACTTTGAGCTTGGTCAATGAAATAAATGTAGCCACTCAATTCCATATCCAGTAGTCAAGATTAATTGTGATCACCTTGTACCATAGGTAAATGGTTTCATTATATACGTTTCTATAAAGTATTAGCATAAGTTTGATATTTAAACTTTTGGCTTCCAGAGATAAAGTGAGAAGGCGAAAAGATTTGAACCGGTTTTTGGCACGTCAAAGGAGATCCCTGAGAGCAGAGTGGGCTACAAAGATAAGAGGATGGTATTTCTGTAAAAAAATGAAAGGATTTGATTCGGAGAGAGAGATACATGTTGGTGTTCTTAGGGAGCTAATTGGGAAAAAAGTTGAGTGGTTAGAATGGATCTACACAGAACCTGGGTAATAGTTTGTTCAACCGGTCTTTAAGTTATACCTATGGCGGCTTCATAAAGACGTTGTTTCTCAGCAGAGGGAAAAAAGGACGGGTTTTCTACTTGAAAGAGCAAGCCTTCCCCATCCATAGCATTTCATTGTCTTCAAATTGTTGAATGACCCAAAGATGTACCAAATGGTCCAGTTGCGCAAGCCATGGAGCATCGAGTTCATACTCAATCTGCAAAACTTAAACAGAGGCATAAGTAAATCAATATATATGGATGAAAGTGCAAAGAGGTCCTAGAGATATAGTGATTGAAGAAAAGAAAATCAAGTAGTATAGCATTAAGGGAAAGGTTTCTATACTTCCCCAACAGCATAGAAGATCTATGCTTACCCTACCATCCAGCCATTTAATTTTGATCAAGAGAGCCACTCACCATTTGATTTTAGATCTTACGTCTCAAAGTATTTTACTTTTAGTTTTTTTATACAAATTGTACGAATATGAAATTCGGTACGTGTCATCTTCTCATTGGGGCACACCTATAAAAAAATATTAAAAATAATTTTTCGAGAAAATATAATGATGAAAATACCTCTTGAAACTTTCAGAGGTATTTTAGTAATTTTATTTTATTGGAACTATTTTTTTTATATTTTTCACTAGTACAAGTTTAAGAGAGGATTGGACATCCAAAATTCGAAGTCAAACTAGTTTACAGAAAAAAAATTTAAAATAAAATAATATAGAGACGTGACATTGTGATTAGAGCAATCTTAACCCTCCATTCAAAATAGATGGTTGGATAAGGGGAAGTATATAACTTTTATGCGGTAGGGAAAGCATAGAAAGCATGCCCTAGTATTAATATGATCAATGTCATCATGGTAACAATTATAGTTATCCCGTTAATAGGTTGGACAAAGGATCAGCTGAGAGTGGGTGCCGCAAACCATGCTATTGCGACGGATCGTTTTAGGGTAAGTATAAAAAAGATCCCCTCCTTTCCCCAAAAAAAAAAAAAATTGAAATTCTTTAAATCTACATCCATACCATGTTGTCCTTTTTATTTATTATTTTACCAAAAATGTTCTTCACATACTTGATAGGGTCAGGAAGAGTCATCATAGACCAAGGTCCGCAACGATTCAAGGATCTTCAATGCCAGTGATAGGTCAATATTTTGTTTTTTTGGGTAACTTACTAAAGGAGAAGGCCCCCTATATATAGTTTTAGTAATAAAAGATCAAAGAGAAACAATTCATTATTTTACAATCTTATAATAAGGCAATTACGCCAAATCATGATAGACTGATCTCTCGACACGTACAGTTGTAATCACGATCCTATTAAAACAATAATGGCTATGTACCTTATTGACATATCATCACAATCTCCGATCCTATTACATCTATGATGGTTCCATGGACCTTATTGACAGATCATCACAATCCTCGATCTCCATGGTCCTTATTGACCGATCATCACAATCCCCGATCCTATTACAAACTATGATGGTTCATCACGGATCTAATAGATCCAAGATGATTCTTCACGGCCCTATGAGGTCCACGAAGGATATTTTGAGTAAAATAAATAAATATTACAAAATCGGTGTGGACGTAGACTTAAAGAATTTGGTATTTGCGAAATTTTTGAAAAAAGAGGACACTTTTGATCATTTCCCTTCATTTTATAATGTCTTTGAAAAGGATAATCCAGGTGCTTCCTTTAGTTGTAGATTCATATGTCTCTGTCTCCCGCACCCCCGCCCCCTAAATAAAAAATAAAAAAATATCAAATACAATTCAGTATGAACTAAATTCTCTAATTATAAATTAACAAATTTGCATTATTTATTTAAGAAATATTTTCAAACAGATGGGCATCCTACAAAGGTCATCTCGCAGATCCTTGAGAAAAAGGAAACGATCATAGGTGTTGTTGTCAGACAATGCCTTCTCTAACAGTGATTTGGAGAAGGACATTGCATTTTCAAGTTTCTCCCATAAACATAAAATGGGATGCCTTGTAAACACTGAGCATTGGGCTCAAATATTCTTCGTAGTTCTCTTCTACATGCAATCTGATTTGAGGGTTGGACAAGGGCCAACAAAACTTACCTGCAAATTGTTACACTCTCCATCAATTAACCCATGAGTTTTATGGATTATATCACCATTTGTACGATAATTGGGAGCCAACTACTCAAAAATTGAGAGATTGATCAA